AATGAAGAACAAGGAGCAATTTGACCTAACACAAGCAATTAACTACATCAAAAGTAACATGTTTAAAGAACTTAAACCTTTATCTTAAAATGAGATACTGAGCGAAGAGCAGCAGAAACTGAAGCAGAGGACACAGAATTAGGCTGCTCTGTAACGTTTCCCATTGCAGCTGGTTAAAGCACCTGGAATGTTAAAGACTAAGCTGCTTAGCTGGAATTTTACAACATTCATTTATGAAGTCCCAGGAGCCTGAAGCTACAATGAAAACACATTATCCTTTCCATGGCACATATACTTAGCTCATGAAAATAATCTTATTGTCTGTTTAGTGAATTATCACTTTCATTTTATGCTTCAAGAAATTATATACTGTTAATAGAAGCTTCAAGAGTTTACAATTCTTTTTTTTTAATTCCAGTTTCAAAAGTGAAAGTAATCTCCTTACTCCTTGAGCTCTGCCAGTGAAGCTGAAATCCTGATGTCATGGCCCAGTAAGTAGAGAGATGTAATTAAATCACTCCACTGGACTAATTCACCAAGTGGGCCACCGCTAAACGCATTTTCTGCAATCTTGAATCCAGATTCTTTTGTCAAAAGCCCCAAATGAACAAGGATCTGGAAAGGAAAGTCATATGTTTGAGTTATCGACGTTAAACATGAGACTGTTATACATTACAGCAGTTTTTCTTTCTATTAAATTCCAACTATGGCCAGAAAAAAACCCAAAAAACAACCAAAAGTCAATGAAAACAAGCCAATACCTCCACACAAATAATTTAATTTTGTAATGGATGAAAGGACTGAGAATCTCCAGCAAAGAGCTGAGCCAGCCAGGCTTAAGAGAAGGTAGAAATATGAACATACATGGGGCTGCTGCCACTCAGGACTTCCAGGAATAACAAGGCAGGAAAGAAAACTTGTTGTGTTTGCAACTTTTGGCTTTTTCTTAACTAGTTGAGGTAATTTAAAAAAAAAATCAAATCAAATGAAGTATGCCTTTTCACTTCAAGTATCTCATGGCTTTAAAATTAAACTCATTACAGGACGTCTAAACTGATCCAATGCAAAGTTTTGGTCAACTTTAAGTGTACTCAAATCCAAACCCAGGGTACACCATTTTGAGACACCATTTTGGACAGCAAAGATGTGCAATTGTTGTTTCCCATGACTACATAAAACACTCCAGTGTCATCAGTTTGCAGTAAAGTCACAATTTCTCCCTTTAGAATATAGTTTCTATTTAGTCTACATAGTCTCTATTTTACCCAAAACTACAGAGGTCAGAAAAAAGAATGACTCATGCAAAACACATAAAACTGTCTGTAAAGCAAACACCCATTGCCAGAGGATTTCAAACAGCAAAATACTTCTTGAAAAAGAGTATAAACACAAGCCTTTTAGACATATTTTCTATCTCCACTCTGAAGCTACACCTGGAAGAAGCAGCTTGAAAGAGCCCATATTACAGCAACTGAAAGGAATAAAAGTGTTCCTGTTTACCTTTTTTCGTTTTCTTTTCTCCAAATTTTGTTTTTCTGCAAGTGATTTAATTGCATCAATCCAGGTATCGGCCATTCGTCTGATGCGCAACATCATCCACCGGAACTCCTCATGCCTTGACATCATTTTGTAGAGATTATCAAAGTTGATACGAATTTCAGCCTTCAAGCAAAGCATTAAGAAACACACCAAACATTAGTAATTCTTCAGCATACTTTCAAGGAGTTAAAAACCTGCTAAAATGTGAGCTCTGTGCCTTATATTCCTCTTTTTAAAAAAAAGAAATAGATAAAAAAAGATACACTCCTAGAACAGTAAGATTTTAGTTCAAATATTAAAGATATACTTAAAAAGATACTTCTAAGCTACATAAATTGCTGTTATTTTTATCAGTAGTACTTGGTACATTTCAAATGTTTCACAATGCATTTATTTCTGCGATACAAGATCTGGCTTTGTTCATGTGCTTCAAAATGAGTAAAAGTATATCTAAATCATAATATAGAACAGTAGGCTCAAGATTTATGTATATCATGAATCTTGCAAACACAAGGAAGTCTCCAGTTATACCAGAGAGGAAGAAACATTACTAGGATATAAATTTTAAAGGAAATACTAATTTTAAAGCTAGACTTTTCTAAGATCAATTGGTTATACAAAATGAAACAGCCTATATATATATATATATATATATTATGTAAGTAGTGTTCATATGCAGCCCAGCAATTATCTTAAATTATCTTAAAACACCTAACTGCTACATAATTAGGCTGTAACAATTTAGATACAACTCTGTGTGCTGTATAGTATTTAATGGGAAAAAATTAGGAGTAATCA